CAAACAGACACTAATTCATTCATTTGGGGTTCAGCATCTAGCTTAAGGACACTTTGACATGCAGTGTGAAGATCTGGGGATCGAACCGCCAACTTTCTAACTAGTGGACAGCCCACTCTACCCCCTGAGCCACAGCAGTGGCCTGGTTTGATCGATAGCACCAAGTTTCCAGGAATCTTGAACGGAACTGGATCAAGAACCAGAACTAATGTAAGGGGAAGAGGGGCCTCAGAGTCTTTCCTCATGCTTGAGGACGGCCTACAGAATTTGATGTGAATTAATTTTCATGGACGGAGACATACAACACTAGTTTCGAGCATCAAAAGCAGTTTTTGTTTACACTACCGTATGAGTATCACTGTAAAAATCAGCTGCACTAACTGAATACACCAACACAAAGCAAATTATTATGAATAATTTAGGCTGTTGTGGTGGTGCCCCATCCACATTTGGTGCACTAAGCTCAGATCATTATCTTTGTACATTGTTAAATGATCGATTAATAGTAGAAAGTACAGATATTTGTGTAAAAAGGTAGGGCGCAAAAGTATAAAGTATTTGTACTTTGTTACTTCCCACCTCTGGTTAATTAGAGAAAAAAATGCAAGCTTGAGTTGTTGGAAACAGATATTAGATATTAGGCATATTGGTGCATGTGTTTGATGGACAGGAGGATTTATTTGACCTTTTCCTCTGTCTTTCTCAGCTCATCTGATCTCTACATTAATCAGGGAGCAGTAAATCCAGTGGAGGTATGTTTGAAAAGAAAACCTGGGAACAGGAGTGGACTGAAATGATTTTGGAGAGGATGACAGAGCAATGAACTTCCTGTGCTGATTTCCTCTGCCAACCAGATGCAGACTATTTTAGAAAGGACCGTACTTCCCTCACAGAGTGGACAGCTTTGACTCATCGTGTTGTCTGAAGCTGGTTAATTTCCTCCACAGCAAAATGGAAAATATCAAACATGAACCAAAACGCACCAAAACGTGTATCTATGATCATTTTATTCAGATTTTTTCAGGCATTAGTCTGCCTCTGATCCACAGTGACTAACACTGAGGTTGTTCTGTGGTTTATAGGCTCATGGAATTCAGCAGATGAATGGACCATAGTGGTGATTTGGCATTTTGTATAAACATGCCAAGTCTTTTGAATGATTTCCTTCCGTCCTTCCAGGCAGCCATTGGTCTAAGCTTGGTCTAGTTAATGAAGTAAAACTTGCTGCAGATAGATGTTCAATCACAGTGAACCATTGATTAGTTGGCTTTAGTTACTCCATGTCTTGCCTCCTATTTGACAACTACATTTGATTTTCTGACAAAATGGCTCATTAGTAAACCACATTTGGGGCAGCCACCTATCAATTCTTTGATGCATCAGCAAGTTCCACTCATCTAAAATAAAATCAACCAAATGTTCACTGTGATAGATCTGAGGACTCTGTAGTTTTAAATATTGTACTGAAATGAATTAGAGCCAGTGGTTGCCTGGAATGAAGGAAAGACTAAAGGGTAAAACACAAAATTGGGCAACAACATCAAAAACATCTACACTTACTGTATTGCTTGTCACTGTTGACATGCTGTGCCAGATCAGGATACGCTTTTTTCCCAGCGGCACCCATACACCAAGTCTCTATCCAAATCTTGCACAGATTTAATCAATTATTAGTTAGTTTATTGAGATAAACAGTTGGTGGTGCTAATTCTCCAGTCAGGTGTCAGAAGGTTGCAGAAGAAAAGGGCGAAACCAGACAGCGTAAATAAAGAGTACCTTAAACGATGGAAATATGACAGTGATGTTTGTTTCATGTATTCATTTGAGGAAACAGATCTGATGTTTTTGTGTGCAGCTTTCTTCATCTCTTAAGTGGAAGCTTCAGTCACACATTAGTAACGTGGCTGACAGTATGTTGTGATTTATTTATTTCCATTGCACTTTGTTCAGTTTTGCTTCTACCAATATTTTTCTACCTCAGCCAAACGAGTAAACATTGTTTTAACAATAGTTGGAATTCTTTTCAAAAAATCAGTGCTATTTGGATCCAAGGACATTTCATTTAAATGAAAAAGCCTTCAATAAATGGGCTTAATGCTTACATGTTTCTACTCAGTCATAATTGTCACAGGTGCAGTCAGTGAAGTGGGTTGGTAGATTCTAACAAGGTATCAATATCTTTAAGGTTGCAAATCCTTCATAATCAATAGTATCAGATATGCACAAACAGTCAAATAGAAAGTAATGATTAAATATAGATGATTTCTGTAGGTTTCAGTCCTTCACTGGAGCTGGTTACCTGCAGTGAGGAGAGAGAAGAGTAGGGAGTGTAAGGGATTGACTGACTGGCTAACACAAACACCAGCTCTGATGCGCAGTAGCACTGTCCTTAATTTGTATGTGAATTCACAGTTTACATTCAACTCCACTGTGCAGACTGCTGAGTCTGAACTTTATTTCATAATATCACCACAAGCTGGTTTATATTTACAGATGAGGAATTGAGAGTCACCCCTGACTATTAAATTCCTCCTGTTCTCTTGTTTTGTAGTGGAAGAACTGAAGGCAGCAGACGACTCTGCAGTGAGTCAGTCCAGCATCTACAGCTCCCAAGAGGGAAGTTCAGGATTTTCCAAAACAATACATATCTATTTTGGATTGAAAAAAAATGTTCAGTCCTTAAAATATCAAGGATTCAGTCTGTACAAGGATCTGTCTGACTGTGGTCAGATTGCTGACAGATCTGTTTGTTTTTGTTAAATCTGAGCCATGTAGCACATTAGGGTATTTCCAGAAAAGTCTCAAAAACATTATGTTCGAGTTTCAGAAAATTGTGAGTCAAGAATAAAACCTTTGAAGTGATTCTGTTAAGATGTGTTTGCATTTGAACATCCTTCCAAAGCTAGTCTGTTAGGGGTTCCCACTCCACCCAACCAGCACCAAAACCCATGGAACACCTGATGTCCTCCAGTGGCAAACTCTTCCCAATCACAGTAAGCAAAAAGGGGACTTCACTAATGGAATCACTGCCCTCCCAAAGCCAGGCTAACCAAGTTTCAGCCACCTATGACCTCAGAAACTCACATTACGTGTAACAGTGGTGCAACGGATGATAGTTGATCTGTAATCCATATGGACCACCCCGCAAGGTCCAACCTGCAATGTAACCGTACAGTTTTACTACCACTCTAGTAATAATTCCCTAAATCTTAATTCATAGTTGCAGTGTAAAGATTGACAAGACAGATGTGCACAATGACTCGGTTAGGGGAGAGCGACTGATTTAAAATCCGTCACACAATCTGAACTGGGATTTTTGGGATCCATTGCACTCCATTGCAACATGGAACAACGTGTTGTAGGTTGGACTATACATTGACTGGACCTGGAGGTGCTGAAGCTCATCCCAGCTGCTTCACACACAGGCCACAAAATTCGATTTGCAGCTAAGTAGCATCATCTTAATTCCCCGTGTGGATATCAAGTTAAGGTCTAGAACCCCATAACACAATATGATCCCTCCATTACTGTCATATCTCACTTTACATAATCAAATAATCCAATTTAATATATGTTGAACTTCACACATTTATTACAAGTTGCTATGATATACTTAGCTAGTATCTGACATCATTATTAATTTTATTGATCCATCTGAGGGAGTAAAGCCAAAGAAACATAATCTCCTCTGCTCAGAAAACTGGTGTCTCAGAGTCATCTTAGACTGAGAGAAGAAAAAAGAAGATGCAGAGATGAAGGACAATGATACAGACAACCATACAGACGGATTCATATGAGAAATCTCTCCACAACCCCACTGCTGCTGCTGGATTTTCCCTGATTCTGTCCATTAAAATCAACTAAAATTGGTGACAAAGCATAACCCAAAGATCAGATGGCTCCTAGCACTGGTCCTGGCTCCCTGTATTCCCACAGCAGACACCACAAGACACAAGGGACGAAATCATAAGCCTTCTGCAGGTCCAAAAGACACATCGTTGGCTGGATGGGCAAACTCCCATAAACTTCCCTCAGTCTTTGCAACTGATCAGCATATTATCACTAGACCGTTTACAGCCTGCCAGTTCTGTGAAAAGTCACACGAATATGACCATGTAATATATGAATAGATAGCTCATTGTGGTTATGTTGTAAAAACACAATTGAAACCTTATGGTGTCTCCCTGCCTTCAAAGCAGTATTTTAGTCCAACGATGTCATAAACCCTTGAAAATGTACCTCAACAATCCAATGACCAGAAACAGTAACACTTCTTTAATTCGCAGACGGACCATTAAACAGCAAGCCCAGCTCTGTCCTGGAGTAACGACCCATACGAAAACTGAACTGTAAAAACAAAAAAAGGTGGATTTTTCGGGGTTTACGTGCCAGACTATGTCTTGATTTTCGCCAACAACCTGAATCATAGAGAACATAGAGAAGATGGCAAAAAAGTTTGATTTGATTTTCCACTCACTACTAGCCTGGTTCCAGACTTCTGAATCTTTGCCTAAATCTACCGACTGCCTATTGGTTCTGTTAAGACTGGGGACGTCGTCTTAGTTTGCCAGAGACAGAAAAATGGGTGAGGAAACTTTGGATGACATTTAAGCAGTTGTACCAGTTGTTGTAAGTCGACTTATAGAGCTGACTAAAGTCCTAAATCAGCACAATTATTCAGATGGATTATCAGGTTAACTCTCCACTGGATGAAACAATAAATTGCCATGGCCTACGCTGGTTCACGTTCTCTTCGCCTCATGTCTGTTTGATTGGGGCCATTATTGAGCTGATCCTGGCATGATTCTCCTGTTGTCCTGTGGCGGCTGCAGACAAACATGTTTTACCTCTATGTCACATGCTTTTTCCAGCAGCTTCTTTTCACGTGCTTCACTTGGACATCATAACACGTGGGAGGGTTGTGCTGCGCAGGCGCCCCGACCAACCAGAAGGAGTCGCTTGTACTGCGACCAGGACATTACCCCGCACTCGCTTCCTGTGCGATTGTGTTCACTGAGTTGCATGAATTCGCTGGAGATATATCTGCAGGTAAATGAAACCCCTGTGTGTGCAGATTTGGGCTGGTACATTCTTGTGTTTATGAATGCATGTTGTGCTGCATTTCGCATATATTTCTGTGTCTTGACGCTTGTAGATGTGTATGAGTACGTGAACTTAATGACACTGCGGTTCATTTGTGCGTGTGTGTGAGAGAGAAACAGACTGCTGAGCAACAGCTACAACAGTCTCAGCTTCATTTCATATTTCACCAAGAACAGGAAGTGAATTTGTGTGTGAACATTTGTCCATTTTTATCTGTGAACGTGCTTGCCTCGAGCACATTCTAGTCTATACGTTCCAAGTGTGTGTGTAAGAGAGAAATATGGGCCTCCCCTTTAAACCCCTCCAGCTGAAAAGCTCTCAGCATTTTTTTTTCTCTCCACACACCATTCCACGTGCCGTGTGGACGCCACGTCAGCTGTGTCAGCCTGACTCTGCACAGAGTGTGTGTATGTGTGTTTAAAGAGCTCTGTATAAGGCTTTCTCCAGCAGCAGGGAGCAGTCAGAGCCCATATTTCATCCTCAGACTCTGGATTTGGATGCAGATGTGAGTTTAATATTTCCGTAAAGCTGCACTGAAACTCTTCACCGGCTCAAAGAGTCACTTCAGCTGTGGTTCAGTGTGTGTTTGAGTTTACAGGCTCTATGGTTTCCTGCAGTAAATACCTTGGAATCAAATAAAAACTGTATTCATCAACTTGGATGATGCTCTCACTGAAAGCCAAACTCAAACACATTGTTTTTGTTACCTCCTCAGTTGCCTGTATTATAGTGGAGATGTCTTACCTGAAACCAAGCCTGCTCATGTTAACTTCAGAAGAAATTACAAGGCTTTTATCAAATATAACATTATCGCTTAAGGGTAGAAGCAAAGGCACCGCACAAAGCAAAGGCCACATATAAGAAATGTGTCACAATCTGCCTGATTCAGCTCAGCAGGTGACATTGATGGATCAATCATCACATTGTTCTCAATCAGAAGAGCACACTGGAATGATGGGAGAGTTTGTAAAAGTAGAAGGAAACAGGTCATTCGGTCGCAATCAATGTGAGGAGAACATGAGTAACTGTGGTTCTGTGATGAATGCTAGTGATGCACAGGATAGAAATTCAGGTTAATTTCATTGTGGGAAACCTAAAGGTCAATTAGACTCCATGGAAGGCGACCTGTGACGTCTATAGATTTAAACAGCTCAAAAACACAACACTACTTATAATTATAAAATAATGAAAACATATATTCCATTTCTGCCAATAGATTCTCCTAAATGCACACTGGAACTTTAAGACATTAGTTTGAGATACCTGTATATCAAATTAAATTCTGATTATTACTCAGGTCACGTTAATTCTGTTCTTAATTCTTAATGATTAAATATATTCTAATTATCTTTTTAAGTAAGTACAAATATTATATGACCAGTCAAAGGGCGGTTGTGTGTATCAGGAACTGGAAAAGGGAAGCTGGGATACCCTGAACTCGAGTTACTAAATCTTTACGTACGATTATGTAACCTTTGAAAAGGTGATGAATATCAGTAGAGGTGGGTATCTGGATGGATATCTAAGGAGCAGAATCAGATGTTAAAGCTTGTGACGAACCCTGACAAATCTTTTTTATTTTGGTCTCCAGAGTGTCGAGGCAACAAGCAGCCGACACATTCCTGCCTGAAATAGAGCGAGTGTTGGATTTCACCGACCTGACCCGCTCAGCTGCATTACACAGATCGTATCATCGGTGATGACATAGTAGCACATTTATTCCCGGAGAGGGCCGCGCGTTCCGAGCGAGGCACGCCACGGCAGCATACCCCATACAAGATGCTGTAGGACAACAAGCCAGTTGGTGGCTCTGGCGTTGAACACTTGACTAAACATGTGATGAGGGGTGAAAGAGTGCTGAGACACACTTTACACTGGTGTTAATTGAAATTAAAAGGCATTGTTAATTAAAAGGCATTTGTTGAGATAAGAGTTATTAAATCATTCTTCAAATATTTCTCACCACAGCCAACATTTGTTCAAAGTGGATATGATGTAAAGCAGGTTAAAATTAAACCTGACATATATAGAATGACTCTGGACCGGTGTCACTCTGCGAACACTTCGCCTGAGGGAAAAAAAACTCCCGCCAACCAGCTGTCCAAAAAGAGGGCTGCTGCTTTTGATTCCCAGAAGATCACCCAGTGAACCTGAAGGAGGAGGAGGAGGGAAGTTGGTGGGGAGGGTCGTCAGGTTCTTGGGTTCATTCCCGGTCGTAGAGAGAGAAAAAACAGCAGGGGAATGTGTGTGTGTGTGTGTGTGTGTGTGTGTGTGTGGCAGAAACGGGCTGCCAAATATGGTGAGGGGAGAAGAGCATCCCAACATGTCCGGTGTGTGTGTGTATGTGTAACAGAGGGAGAGAGTGTGAGCTGGAAAACGTTGTTCTTATTCTTTATTGGTATCAGCTGATGTTGGACATGGTTTATGTTTTTCGTCCAAACACAAAAACTAATAAAAGTAGATTAAAAAAGTAAAAGTAGACATTGATTGACTGCCTGGTAACCTAACCATGGTTACCCATGTCAACACCCGTTTAAATGGATTTTGAATAAAACCAATACTCGTTTTCTGAGCTAGCACGCTTCATCAGTGGTGCTCTTTTGAAGGAGGAAGTTCAACATATATTGCTGGACTTGGATAGCTAACTAACTCACTCACTAACTAGAATATTTGGTGAGACCAATGTCCGAGTCCGAGAGAAGTCCGAGCGCAAGTCTGAGACAACAGAAGAAACATCTTGAATCCAGATTTTGCGTCAGAGACCGGACTTTCTGAAATGGGTTTTATGTTCATTTTCTTTTTTGTGTATGTGTATTTTCATATTCAACAGATATCGACATTGAAACTGTAGTGAAAGGTATATGTTGCTGGTATGATACCGATCATGTGATCAACAGGTCATTTTCACTGTCTATTTTAGCTGAGAACTACGAACGTCACATTGAAAAAATAGGCAAGATCTTTTGGGAAGCGTTGTTGCAGCCGTGGGTGAAACTGCTTGTGCAGGCAGTGCGTATTAGGCGTTAGAGATTCCTGAAGTCACTGGAACTTGTTTCATATCATGTCACGTTTTATTTCAGCTAACTTGCAATTTTTAAATATTATTGCACTCAAAGCAAATTGGTTGCCACTTTCTGGGAAAGTTCAGGCTCAGTGTCACCCTGTGAACATTTCTTCACGTCGCCTGAGGAGAAGAACCAACCCTTCCTCTCTCTCACACTCAATGTTGTTCTTTTGTTACTTTTGGTTTTCTTTTGAAAAAGGAGTAAAGGGGAAGCTGTGTATTTAATGTCTGGACAGACTCATATAACTGGATTAAACAAGACTGGCTGTCTGCTGAATGCAGAAGTGATGCAAGATGAAGCATAAAGCTACAACAGGGCATCACCAGGACACTCAGGATAATTACTGAAAAGAAAGAAAGAAAAAATCTGCTAAAATGCTCAGATGACTAAATGTTTGTTAGGATCGAGATAAAACTATTTATTTCTGCATTTCTTTCTCTCTCTGTCTCTTTCTTCTTGTAGTCCTAAAAATAAAGTCATCTGGTAACACCACTCCACCACACTAACCCTGATCTCCCGCCCTGTTTCCACTCCTCCTCCTTCTCCACCTCCTCCTCCTCCTGGTTCGTTCCTGAAGTTCCTAGAATCTTCCACAGTTCCAGTTTCAGGGAACGTCGGGAACGTAAAGAAGCTGCCAGCTCCAAAAACTGTGGTTGGCCTCAGACAACGTCTTGTTCTTTCTGTCTGTTCACATGTATTCCACTTGTGAGACTGTATGTCCATCTGCCCGCCTGATTGGTTCACTGCATATCTGTCCAGCTGCTTTATTGGCTGAAAATATCTGTGTTTACAGTACGTGTACTCAGCAGCAACAAGGTTTATACCCAATTAAATATACATCTATTTAAAAAAAGTTAATCAATTAATAGTGGGAAACTGAAATCCTCCAGAGTTTTGTATGTGATAATGGGATCATTAAATTTGCAGAACAAATATATTAACATAATAAATAAGTGCAGTGCTGGTTTTAAAGCTGCAATATTTCTATACAAACAATAGATCAATTACTGTGTGGAAAGTGGGACTTGTAGTGACGAACTCCCAATTCTGTAGTCTCCTCTGCTCTTCTGAGTGTTTTTATGTCTTTTAGCTCCTTTTGATTTTACAGAACATTTACTGTAGTCTCACTTATTTCCAGCTGCAGCAGCAGGCAGATGTTTTCAGCAGGCTCTGAAAAACACACCGTGTATTATCTGCCCAGAATCAAATGGAAGACACAGTTAGAGGTTAGAGACCAGAAAGTGGAGCATTCAGCAGCTAAACCAGATATTTCTCTCAGTGGCTGGGGGACACCAAACCAGAGCTAAAAGAGGAGTAAATATTTTACTACAAAGTTTCTAAAAAATGCAATGGGGGTGTGGTTTGTGGTATTGGTGAGAGAAATATGATTCAGAAAGGTAATTTCTAATTTCAACCTCTTTCTCAGCACTCAAAAGAAAAAAAGAACAGATCAGAATAAATTATTTCTACTCATGTTACCACTCTACAAACTGAATGGGGATTTCTTTCGTTCTATGTTTACAATCACACACATGCAGAGATTATAGAAATATAGATGTGGAAGGATGGATTGACGTAGCAGCACAATTACAGGTGACGAGCCCTGGTCAACTAGCAAACAATGCCAAATCACTTCAAGAAGCCAAGAGTTGTTCCCATACCGGGAGTTGAACCCGGGCCGCCTGGGTGAAAACCAGGAATCCTAACCGCTAGACCATATGGGAGGCTTGGGTAGACCTGTGGAGTAATGGATACCGATATCTAATCAGATTACAGTTACTTTTTAGTAAAAATGGGGATCATTACAATTTTAAAATACATTTTAAAATGAAGCACAATATGGGTGCCCGGTTAGCACAGTCGGTAGAGCTGGCGACCCATGTACGGAGTTGCTTCGGCTTCGAATCCGACTTGTGGTCCTCTGCTGCGTGTCATCCCCTCTCTCTCCACCCACCTAAGCTGTCTCTATAAAAATAAAGCCAAAAAAATGACTATGCTACCATGCACATGTGGGTATATGTTGCACACATTGCAACACACACGTCTCACAACACCACTGAAACCAGTGAAACCGTAGATAATCTCATAGTTGCCAATTCCTTCTCATGGCCTCTAGTGAAAATAGTGCTTTGACTGTGTGAAAATTTCACCCTTACTTTGTCTTATAGCAGAAAAGAGGAACAACATCACAGTATAGTGCAATTTCTGCCTTCCAGCTGTGAAAATGGTCTACAGGCCTGAATGTGCTTATTTAAAAATAAAGAATGAAAGGTTTGTCTCTCTTAAGTCACTGAGCAGAGGACACATTGTTAATGCTAAACATCTTGGTTTCCATTTTCTTTTCTAAGGTTACATTGTTCTTATAGAACATGTTCTTTTCTCCTGTCTTTATTTGCATATTCAGTATTCAAAGTAACATAAAGTAATCAAGTTACGTTACTTTCATATTCTACTACATCAGCAACAGCCAATCATATTGCAGAACCAAGCCAATCTCTCTACACAGTGTACAAACCAAGCCCCGCAGGAAGAGAGCCAATTTCACATAGTGGCAATGGCGTCCGTCACGTGATGCACACTGACTTTTTTGAGCATCAACACCCCCACGAAATGACTCATTCACTATCTGAATTTGATCAATTCAGTCCGATAACGTTTGGAAAGTGTAGAAGAGCCACACGATTAAATCATATTATCTCCATTCATTGAGGCTGCTAGTTGAGCGTTACTTATTCTTGATGTTGATGCTTATGTTCTTGCTGTACAGTTTCTGACTGCCTCTTCGTCCTTCTCTTTAGTTTTTGAGGATGAGAGAAGCCAGAGTGCACATGTATATAAAAACATCCATGTGCTTGAAGTAAAATTCCTGGGTCTTATTTTCATAGTTAAGTCCATAATTCCCATCAGTTATAAAAACATTTGACTCACCGGCTTGAGTTTTTAAAGATACACAGCCTCTACACACGCAGTTCTTCATGTACATCAGGTGGGGTTTTAACATGTAAAGCTTGACCCGGTTATCTAAACCACTCATTGGAAGCTGAAAGGAAAATTGTGTCATAACTGTCAGTTGCTCAAGATTCATACAACCACAGGAAGTACCGCAAGTCAAAATTGGTTTATAATATAATAGGCTCAAAGTTAATTCATGTATTTATTTTTTATCTTCTGTATTCTACTGTGTACTTCTTTCATTAGTGTGTTAGTTATTTATTGTTCTACTCACTTGCTTTCTATCCTTTTATATGGATGGCTGTTGTAAAATGTATTTGCACTTTGTGGCCCTGTTTATGGTCTATTAGCTCTATTAGCACATGCACTGGGAGGCAGGTGACACAGTGCAGTCGTGCCAGCGGTGTTGGTAGTAATGTGCCAACAAAGGGCAGAAGAATACTGGCTTTATTGGTATGAATTTAATACACAGCAATGAGACACACACACCCCACCCCATTCATACTTATGATAGTGATTTAATGCATCTTGAGCTAATTGGGCAGCGATTAGATATCAAGCTACCCAAATGTAAAGGCAAAAGTCATCAGGATGTGGTTTCAGACACATTATAGCCACATGGTGAAAAGGTGTAAATGCATCTGTTTCTCTCTAAGATGCACATTAACTCCTTTGAAGTGGGGCGTCAGTGGGGATCTGCTCCCTGTCATAACGGCAGCTGAAGTAACACTGAAATTGGCTGCTCTTTTCCCATCTTCATTAAAGGAACATGAAGAAACTCCAGCTACTGCAACACATACCATCAAACAGACGGCAAGGCAAGCTGCCGCGGTGTTTATCTGATCCATGATCAGTTCAACCACTGAATGTGTGTGTGTGAGAGAGAGCAGCATGAATATG